AAAATCAGGAGTATTTCTTTCCTTTCCAATGAACAAGAAAGGTATATTTAGATTATAATTCTGCTGAAAAAAAAAAATGAAAAACAATCAATTACTTTTGTATTTTTTTCAGCTATTTTATTGCTTCAACTCTTTCTTTACTCTGTTTTGTTAAATTCAAAATCTGTAACTATGAAGATGCAGAGTATAACTGTTTTGGTTATACCTATCACAATGTTTTCACTACAGCGACAGAACGCGAGAATCTCGTATATTTTTTTCTTTTCTCGCAATAAAAAATGATTAACGCGAGAAGTTCACGCACTCTATCAATTTCAAAATGCGCGAATTTTGGAAAAGATTTCGTCTTTCGCCATTTTGAATAAAATCCGTTTCACTTTTCTTCCTTTTTCTTTCATTATTTTGAACATTGGTCCTTGTTATCTAGCTTCCCTATTTATCAGTATTGTTCAGAACCAGTGCGAACANAGAACCGGTGCGAAAAGCAGGACACCACCCCCCGAACCACGGAACCCCTTTCAGAACACATTTCTCTGCAACCACGTGTTCACCGTAGGTAAGGTTTCTTCCTGTAAGGCGTTTACATTTTTAATGCATGAATGTAAGATGGATAAATACCTTGTAAAGGCGACATCTTCTACTCCGTAACGGACAAATGAAAATGAAACAAATGTCGGTAGAAACGGTCAAAACGAAACAAATACGGATATTTTTCAGCCAAATAAATATAATAGCTGATGATAAAGTAGATATAGAACATTTTCCATATAATGATGCAGCAAAAATATTCAATTAGAAGATGTGAAAAATGTATTATAATTAAAGAAATAATTTTTTTCCAAGTCTATTCGTGTTTTTTTTATTTTTAGAAATCTCACTTAACTTTTTGAAATCTCACCCTGTTTCTGAGAAAGGGTGAGCAGGAGTCTGACCAGACATTTTGTGAAAGGTCCGTTTTTGTTAAATTGTGAAAAAATTACAGACCCCTGATGAATTCTCTCCCATTTTTTTCTGTAATGAATACACTGCTATCATTTCAATGAATGCTATTATAATGCCTTTTTAAATTTATTGTTGTGTTATTGTCGGGAGAAAATAGTAACTTCGTTAAGTCATTGAAAGTTCTTGGAAATTAATCATGGAAAGTCATGAAATAATAAATCTAAAATGTAGCAGATACCTTGAATTTAAAAAATTTATTCATTGCAATTATTGATTTCTAGTGCACATTTATTCGTGCGGGATTTATTGCAAAACAAATCATTTCTTTCAATTGTAGATAGAAGAATTAGTGTAATATAGAAATTATTTTCACTTAGAAGAATTAGTGTCTATAATTCGAGTTTTCGTTTATTTTTAAAAAATTCTATCACAACTGCTTATGATATGTAAAGTTAATTAATGTATTTTTATACATACAAAAGAATATCAATACTATGTTTAAATTAGCTAAAGAAGTATTAAAATCGAATGTTGTAGAAATGATTTTCTGACATCCATAAGATCAGAGATATTTTTATTCGGTTGGTTTTCTAAAAGGCGACAACTATTGTTATCAAGTGAATTGTTTTTGGACAAAAATGATTTTAAAACATTTTTTCTGTTCACCTGGAAAGTCATAGATTTCCTTATTGAACAAAATTTGTCATAACTATTTTAAAATAATCATTGATTTAGGTTGCGGAAAAATCTCATTTTTAAACTGGAATTTACCCCTTCCGATTTCACAGTGTTCCGAATTTGTTACAAAATCCCCACTCATATTTTATTAAAATAGAAAATGTTTTTATCCTATTCTTTAAAAATTACGGTGTTCTTTCAGGAAATGAAAGAAAGAGCATCATTTCTAGAGCGAATTATTTTTTTAACTTCTGTGATTTCAGATTTTTTTTTATCTAGTTGTAATTTATTTTTTTACTTTATCAGTTTAAAATTCTAGTTCAGACTTTTTATATTACGCTTACTTTTAAGAAGATATAAAAATAGATTTAAATAACTACATATATCTGACTGTATTTAGTTATTTGCTTTTGTATTTTTGTTAGCTATTTTATTGCATCTACTCTTTCTTTACTCTGTTTTTTAAGTTTAAAATCAATAAATATGAAGATGCAGAGTATAACAATTTTGGTTATACCTATCATTTCAATTAATGTTATTATGATGCTTTTTTAAATTTATTGTTGTGTTTTTGTTGGAGAAAATAGTAACTTCGGTAAGTCATGAAAAATTCTTGGAATTATTGATGAAAAGTCATGGATTTGGGAATCTAAAATGTAGCAGATAACCTGTCTGTAGCAGTGTTACACTTAGACCTTTGCGAGTAGTTGATTTATTAATTTTTTTAGGGCTATAAATAGCACTTTAAATAACCTTATGTATTTTGTGAATTATCTTTCTATTGCCAAGTATGAAGAAGCATAATTTTAGTTAATTTTTGAATTAAGCTGTTACCTCCGATGAGTTTGACTGTGTGTGTTGTCTGATAATTGAGATTCTACTGTGTTTTCAGTTCTAATTTGAAAGGTAAATTAAAAAATAAACAAAATATTTTCGTCTTATTAGAAATTAGCATTCTTAACAGCCAAAATAATTGAGTGTTTGACTGTTTAATAAATATACTAGTAGAAGGAGTAAAATATAAGCTTTCACCCAAATTTTCTTAAAAAAAGTAAAATACTTTTAACTATATTTTCTTTTATAGAACATTGTTCTGACCCTGATCTAATAATATTTGTTTTTCAGTTAAATAAATTTTACTAAAATAAAAGTAAACTAAGTATATTTTACTAAATAAAAGTATAGCCACGAAATTATTACATCATAGTAGGTAATTGATTTATTTTATTTTAATAATACATAAAAATACATACATTTGAATAACTTTACCTAATAGTTTTCTTGCCTGATTGAAAGTGGTATTTTTTTTAAATTCAAAAAAAATTTATAAATTTTTTTTTTCAATTTTTATTACACATATTTTATATAAAAAAAACTAGCATGACGAAGCTACTATTAAAATAAATAGGTGTTTATTGTAGATAATTCAAAATAAAGAACAAAATTATTTCGTATAAATCTGCAGTTATGTCAAATATTATTACAGGTTTAAAATTATTTCTATAATTTTTTTCATCTTTTAAAAAAGGGCTTTCTATCATCTCTTTCGAGTATACAATATATTATAACTTTCCACACTCAATCCATCTTCTCTTCCCTTTCAAAAACTTTCTTTAAATCATTGGATAGGTTACTAATAAATAATTTTCTTTTTATTGAAACTAATTACTAGAGTAATAATAGAGTTAGAAAAATATATATTTTCACAAATTTCAAAATATCTAATGACAAATTAGACTTTTACTAAGAATTAAAAGCTCCAATTTATTACTTTGATTAAAAATGTTTTTTTTTTCGTACTTCTTTTGGTTATAAGTATCTAATTACCTGGTAATTACATATTTGGAATATTATTTATTTTATTTATTCATAAGTACACACATTAAAAATAATGAATGTTGGATTAGTTTAAAAAAACACGTAGCGTATGTACAGGATGAGGCATAAAAGCCAGGGTAAACAAATTTTATTATAACTTTATTAAAAATAAATAAATTGATAAAATATAAAAAATAACAACAGTAGACTAAGAAATTAACTTTTATGATGCAATAACTTTGTCCGAGTTTTTTTTGACACTGTATTAAGTGAACTATATAAATTATACCTAATTCTAAAACATCACATTCGTTATAGTTGATTGTTGTACAAATGAAAGTTACTTTCTGCTTCAAATAAATAAATTTCAGTAAGATATTTCTTACTCAAACGCTTAATGATCCGCAATCTTAACTTTCTTCCAATAAAAAAAAGGTTTCAAAAAGCTTACATTGCATGCATCAACATAGATTTCATGTTAAGTGTTTTATTTTTGCCTACCAAATTTTGTCTTAAACAACATTTTAAAAATAGAGTATCATTCATTAAACGGCTTAATGTCTTTGGCACATTGTAAAGAAAAAAAATTACCACGACTCCTATTCTGATTGAAGCGCTGTAGTAATTTTTTTCTTCATTTTAAGCAACATTAAAATATGAGATAATTTAAATACACAATCGACATAACTTTAAAAATTTTATAAAACCATTTGCCTCTCACAGCTCTAAAATGGGTTTTGCATTCTTTCTACTTCATATCAATGATATGATTTGAATTAATTTTGCATACAGTTTATGCAACTTCTTATAACGGACGTAGAACAGCCAACCCAATTTTTGGGCTTACGACTACCAATGTTCAACTCCATAGCCTTGTAATTTTGAACCCAATCCAGAAGACAAGGGAGCTCCTGGATCAAGTATTTGGAGAAATTTGCCTTCGTGGAGGACTTTTGATGGAACTAACCTTCGTTTGCGTTGCATTGAGAGGAAGACCACGAGAACCTCCCACGGTTAGCCTGACGGCAAGGGGACTCTAACCCATGATCCGTCTACCACTGAAGATATTTCACGTCGGCACTGTGGTTGGTGCCAGCCGGAATTCGTATCGCTGTCAAATATTTCATTTTATCCTTATAATCGCTGGAGCCCGGTTCACCTCATTGGAAGGTGAGCGCTCTATCCATCACGGCTCTTCTTTTAAAAAAAAATTCGATTTTATTTTCCATTAAAGACACAATTTTACAATTAATAGAGCGAGCATGCTTCTATCATTGATCTCATCATTATTATTTTAAATGCAAATGTGAGAATCATTGTAGAGTTACAGAAGCTCACCACCTCGTGGTTGAACTCATCTCTTCGCGATTTATTAGCACAAGAGCCGGCTATGCTGCACATAGTCGGGTTTAGCATTGTTTCATTTTATCCTTATAAGGTTGCTTCTATTTTGATTCTCATGATTACAACGACAATAAAAAAAGCATCTAATAAGTTAACGAGAACTTTTTAGATGCGGTAATTACAAAATCTTTTCCATTAACAAAATCTGTTTTAATATTTCTCTTCCTAACTTGCCTTACATTAAGATTTAATATTGTGCTAGAGAAACGTATATTAAACTTATGGTCCAAGCACTTTTTTGGCCATTGATATTTAAAAACAATTTCTACGAATTTGCTTCAACCATTTGATACAAAATTAAATTGAAATGTATCTAAAAATATTACATCTCACCACTAATTATAAATGTTATTCATAAACATAGGCGATACATCTGCACTTAAAATATATCGTTTCATAGAAATAATTATTAGGTGGGATAGCTTTTGGCTATGTTTCTGAGAAAATTTAAAATCAGCTTTTATAGAATTTTGTTTTCACATCAAAACTTGATTTTTGAGGGTAGTCTTTAAACTAAGTATTAAAAGCTGCATAAAGTTTAAAAAATATAAAGGCACAAATCAAAATTGTAAATGAAAACTGAACTTGCGGTGTCGAGTTGCAGGCATCACTCTCGCAGAAACACATAAGACCTTTTCCTTCAGATTCCAACATACAAACATGATCAACTAAAAAAAGATTTATCTGAAGATTGGAAGTGCAAGTACGTCGAACAGTATCTGAAAAGGAAGAAAAATACACTCCTTATATTCCGCGAACCAAAGGCGTTGTGGGAAGAGAGCACACTACAAAAGTCAACATTTTTGATGGACCATCTTGATGGTAACCATCAATAATTCCATCATGAACCATTTTGATGATAACCAACATTACACCCCAATGTAAGAATTCCGACTAATTTATGATGCTCCAATATAAGAATAGCAACTTGTTTTGATGGTTTGTTTATGCTGAACCATCAGAAATTTCCATCATACTTTCTTAGAAATCAAATGTTGGAACAATCATGGGACAACATGAAAAAAAAAATTTTTTTTTGTTGGTATATTCCTGCTGAACCAACAATAATTCCTATTAAACCATCATGGAAATGTATAGTTGGAACCATCACGGATTGTTGGTCCATACGAATCAAACTTCTCTTGATGGTTAGCCTTTATAGTATTAAAGTAGCATTTTTCATCATGGAGTGATGGAAGTTTGTTGGCATATCAAAACCCATGAACGCATAATGGAAAATGTTGGATGATGACCATCATGAATCGCACTGAAACCTACATGAACCATCAAAATGTTTTGATGGGACCATCAAGAATTTTGACTTGGGTAATTAAGTTCGACAATATAATGCATTTTTTTTTTCATGCTGCGCGTTTATTTAATGAAGAAAAAAAAACATTCATAAACTTTTTATTTTGCACATAACTCGATATGAGTGCTTAAGAAAATGGGCATAACACTTGATTCCGTTTATCAAACTGCTCCTTGTGAAAATTATTCTTTTTTTATAAAAAATTAATTAATGGATACAAATGAATTTGTAATGTGATGCTCGCCATACAAACATGATCAACTAAAAAAAAGATTAAGTGCTTAAAAAATGAGTGCCTAAAAATTTTATTCAGTTTTTCAAACTACTCTTATGAAAATTACTCTTTTTATTTTTTTTAAAGAATAAATTAATGGATACAAATAAATTCGTAATGTGATGTCGTCCATTTGCTTATATCTTAGCACATTTTTTTTTTCGAAATTTTTTTTTTATATTTTGAAAAGATGTTGAAAATAAACAGCTCTTTTAAGAAGGTTGTAACGGATCTTATAATAGTTATAACGTTGTAGCAAAAAACTACTAACTAAAAACGAGTGTAAAATCTTTTAGTGAAAGTCATTGAGCAGCCGACCCAATTCACGACAGTCATTTTCATTGTATCCATTGACACAAAGATCATCAAATAATGAACCGTGTTTCTTTTCTAAAAAGCCAGGAATCGCTACAAACTACTCATTGTTTTGTATCTCACACGAATGAAATTAGTTGGAACAGGATTTTGTTTCCATGGTAACCTATTCCAATTTTATGTAATCTATATTTAGAGGCTATTTCCTGAGTAGTGAAAAATAGTTTTCAAAGTAATGATTTAGGTTTAATATGGATACGAAATGTTTGTACCGAACTTTAGTCAGAATCTTGAATTTACTGAGGGGAGGGGCTCAAAAGGGTGAAGCTTTACACACTTGATTTCAACATATTTGATTATACATATTTATTTTCAACTTACACAAGTGAGATATTGTTTTCGTAGCATTTTTTTTTAACGCCCAATCGAAAGAAACCAGTCCTAATTCGAAAGACGGCTCAGAAGTTATGAAAGTGTGATGTATATTTATAACCCATCAGTTTTGAAATCCTAAAGTTTTTTTTTCTTACATTTTTTATTATTCTTCTTCAAAAATGGATCTCTGATAGTTTTACATATAGTTCAAATTTCAAAGAAACTCGACTATTCAAAATTGGCTCTGCAACACTATGCTATAATAAAAAAACTTTTGGTTGAAATAAAAACTATTGCACTTTTTTTATTTTGATTTATAACCAGCGATAAACAGTCGACCCAATTTTAAGTTTGCGACTATAAATGTTGAACACTGTAGCCTTGTAATTTTGAACGCAATTCTGAACAAGGGAGCTCGTTGATCAAGTATTGGGAGAAATTTGCCTTCGTGGAGGACTTTTTGGTGGAACTAACCCGTATTCGTGTCACATGGAGATGAGACCCACGAAAACCTCTCACGGTTAGCCTAACAGCTAGGAAACTCTAGACTACAGTCCACTGAGGATATTTTACGGAACGAGCCGGGTGAGAAAATTGCGATCACTGGGATTCGAACCCGGATCACCTGATTAGGCGGTGAGCCACCACACCTCGGCTCTATTATACTATGTTGAAAAAATCTTTTGAAAAGTAAGCTTTATTAACTACACTTTTAAACTGAGAATAAAAATATAATGTGGCTCTAAAAAAGAAGTCAATTAGCAAAGCTTATAAAAAGAGAGTTTCTGGTAAAAGTTCATTTTAAGTAGGTTAATGCGTTGTCGGAAGATTGACAATAAAAATGAGCTTGCAACAGTTAGGAAACGATGCAAATGATGCATAGTCATCAAGCTCCAGTTGAAGCTTGAGCTTTCTAGCTGGAAGAAAAATAGATGGAATTTTGATTGATGATTAGTTCCATTGCGAGATAAACAAAAGATGATCGAAACTTGTATTGTCAGTAGTTCCAATTGAGATTTGGTCACTCTAGTTACTAGGAAAATTGTCGATCAATTCTTTTAGGTTGTAAAACTGTATTGAAGATTGCTTGTAGCTGTTAGCAAATGAGTGAAACTTAAATTGTCATTCACTATAAAGTTCCTGTTAAAATTTCAGTGATCTAGCTAGCCAGAAAGTGGACAAGCGAAATGCCCACAAACGTGACGATTTTTGAAGGTGTATACTATGCATTTAAGTTCTTAATAAACAAATTTTTAATACTGAAATCTATAAATACAGTGATTTATTTAATAATTTTTTATAATTCTGTTGGCTACACATAATAAAAAAGTTTAAAAGTAAAATACAGAACATTGTTCACTCGTGACAACAATGTATTGTACTTTTGTTAGTCTACATTTCATTTAAAACAATCAAAAATGCTATTTATTGAGATTATTTTTTCAGATCTTATAGACAAGTTTTGAATCTTATTTTACAAAAAAAGAATTTTTACATTTAAAAATACATCATTTAAAATAGTGTCGACTATTTTTAAGAATTAATTTTTACGTAGATAAATGAATTTTATTATAATGTGAAAAAATGTTCGCTTTCTCGAGATATTGCAAAAAAAGTTTTAAAAAAAAAACCGCGCTTTTGACTGAACGAATGGGACCTTATGGTTCCAAAATGCGGCTCGTATTTTAAAGAGTCAAAAAACAAAATCCGTTTAGGACAGAGTTTTTGTTTCCGTGACTTAATTTATAGTTAGCACTTATTAACTAACATATTTATGGTCACCATTAAAGCCGATTAGCACTTGATTTTTGAAATTATTAGAACAAAATGGATATATTTTTTTATTATGTGCATAAAAAACCTTTCTGACCTTTAAGTCAAATGTTATTTAGGGCGTAACTTTTTACAAAAACAAATAAAATTTATAAGGCACTTTATTTTTCCTGGTTGGTAGAGCACTGGGTCCAAGTCCAAGAGGTAGTCGTTTCCATCCCCTCTAGCCGAAGACTCCCCGTGTAGTGAATGGTGAAATCTATCGACTCACTAAGTCCTCCATGTTCCCATAACAAATCATACCTCTGGGGGTACTGATCCAGGAGTTTCCTTGTCTTCTGTATTGGTTCAAATTACAAGGCTACAGTGTTGAACATTAGTTGTAGTAAACCCAAAAACTGGGTCGGCTGTTCAACGACGGATATGAAATATGTAATAAAATAAATGTGAGCTGAGCCATGGTGGTACAGGGGATAGAGCGTTCGCCTACCAGTGAGGTGAGCCGAGTTCAAATCCCAGCGACGGTTGAGCAATATGATTTCCGCACTCGGCTCGCATCGACCACAGTGCTAGACGGATCATAGGTAAGAGTCCTCTTGCCATCAGGGTAATTGTCAGAGGTTTTCCTCTCCATATAACGCAAATGTGGATTAGTTGCATCAAAAAGTCCTCGCAATACTTTATCCAGGAGTTTCCTTGTCCTCTGGATTAGGTTCAAAATTACAAGGTTACGGAACATTAGTAGTCATGAACCCAAAAAATTGAGTGAGCTGTTCAACGACTGTTATAAAATAAAATAAATGTAAGCTATGCAAAGAAATTTTGTATCCTTTTGAGACATAATTTTGTTCGATTATTAGAAGAAATTTCTTTTATGGCTTCGTATTATTTGAGTCTAGTGAACCATGATCAAAGATGTAAAATATGCTAACAAAATTATTATGTAATAACTAAAAATTATTTTTAAGTAAGCTAAATTATTTGAATTAAAGAAATTACTTCTTTTAAGTTAAAATAAAAAATTGCATTTCTGTCATTACTTAAAATTTGGAGGTTCCAAAAGATTTGTCAATGAGAATAAATTAACGATATTTTGATTGAAAATTATTAGAGGAAAGATCAATCACGCATCATAAACAATTACAATATTTTAATAAAGTTATTCATTTATACTTACAGCAAAAGACGCACTAACATTCTACGCACAATCTTAATTATCAGATGATACTATACAACATTATTGCTTTTACGCGGCTGTTGATTATAATCATGTATCAATTGGTGTAATGAATACGTTAAAAATAAACACAAGTAGGTAGTATAGGAAAAAATTTCCCGAAAAAATCCTGTATGTTTAAATATTAAAGTATTGCCTATAAACTCGTGCAAGTATGCTATTAAAAAGCTACAGTGCGTCTGGTTTTTGGGTCTAATTATTATAATATACTGATATAATACCCGATATAATTATTCTATATTATTTATATAATATATCGTCTAATTTATATTCTTCTAATCTAATCAACTGATACACTAACGTAAACAGTGCTAACCGCTTTTAGACGCATAAAAACAATGAAGCCGTATAGTATCACCTGTGATAATTAAGATTTTATATAGAATCTTATAGTGGGTGCAATAATTTGGGCAGGGACTGCGCATTGTTTTTTGGTAATAATATTTGTGCAATAAGTACTGAAAATCTGCAAGAGGTCCCTAAAGCGTACTAATTATTGACTATTTATAATGAAATGTAGCCCAAAATAATAAGATATGTGATCTTGAATTGTTGAAGGTGCTTAACTAGGTTTTAGAAACTCGTTTGATAGAAGGAAGAGATCGCATCACTCGGATGTATTTTATAACCGTTGTTGAACAGCCAATCCAATTTTGAGTATAGCCTTGTAATTTTGAACCTAATAATCCAGGTAGGATTCACAAAAGATTTTTTATAGAGTTAACCCGTTACATAGGATATTTAACACTATAATCGGTGCGAGCCGACCAACTATCGCTGGGATTCAAAACCGGGCCACCTCTTAGGGAGGCTCCACCATATCTCTCTTGAAAATAAAGGATGCAACGAATATCCGGCCCAAACTAAATATTAATAGATAACATATGTAAAATAATTATTACTTTTTAAAATTTATGTTCTATGATCAAAACACCGAAATTATCTTGAGCAGTCCTAATACTGTTATGAAAATAACCGTTGATATAAATATGTTATTTTAAATGCTATGTTATGTATTCATGTGACAGACATTTATTTTAATATGATATTGTGAGTATACATTACTATGTATAAATTCACAGATGTACAGTGCAAAAAAAAAACTGACCAACTTTTGATCTAATAATCGGATTTTCACGTTCTAGGACTCCATCTTAATAGCTCGAGAGGTGGACCTCAAATATGCTAACTAATAGCATTATTTGCAAAATTTCCTGTGTTAGCATAATTTGTTCTCCTTATTCCAACCCTTTCTCGCGATCTGTTTCGCCTTTAATCTCTCTCTTTTTTATAATACTTTACCTGAATCCCGCAGTAATAACACTTAACCGATGGTTATCTTCTGGCAGATTGATTGTTTACCTCATTTGTTTTCCCCTGATTTTTTAATGACGGATAATTTAGAAATTTGAGCCTCGCCTATTAACTTTTCCTGAGATTTATTTGTGACCGATACCTCCCTGTTTCTTGAAGCAGTCTCAAAAATTTTTTAAATTATCTTCTTCCCTAATCGAACGGCGTCTGAGGGTTGTTTCCTAAAACCTGTCTCTGCAATGCCAGTACAAAATCTTGCCAATAATATGCCATTATTCGCTCCATTTGCCTGAATATTTTCGCCCAATCGACGAAGGCGATTGCTAAAATCGAAAATGCCTTCAGAATCGTACTGAGTACAAATCGCGAGTTTCTGCAAATATGTTGTTAATGGAACTTTTTTTTCAAAATGTGACTTAAGTAGATTAACTAAATTATTATATTCATTAACTGTAGAATAACTTTCAATAAACTTCTCCGCGTCCTCACAAACTTTAAGTTTTAATACCGTCAGTTTATCGTTATCATTCCAATTATTGATGCGTCCTACTTCATCTATTTTTTTTAATAAAACTATGAATTGAATCTTCCTTTCCCTTAAATATTGGGATTAACTCTATTAAATGCATTGAAATGTTTCGTAATCCTTGTTCCGCACCAGCGTCGCACGGCTCCGGTTGCCGTCTACCAGCTCTATTTCTGTTCATAATTATACAAAATTAAACAAATTATATGAAATAAATATTTCCTTAACTTTTATAAATTACATGAAATAATTTTATCGTACATTATTTGACCTGCAAGCATTTGAAACAAGAAAATGAAATTGCGTACATACAATTTTCAGCACGTGCATAATTCAATATAAGTTTGCTAACAAATTAATTAAAAAGAATTAAAATGTAACAATTAATAAATGAATGAATTTTAAAAACATTGCGTGCCTGAAACTTAAAATTTAAGCTAGATTAATTAAGATAACCATTATACCCTAACCCGCGTGGTGAGGTGTCTCGGCACCATTGATACAACTATTGATACTACTTTTATTTGTATCATGTTAATTAGAGATTACTCATATTAAAGTTAAATTAAATTTTAATGATTAAAAATTTCCTGAATACACATGATCTAATTATGTAATAACCGTGGGGAGAATCTAGAATCACTCACCAGGGCGTCGTCTCTAAACCTTCTTCACCTCGCAACTCCCAGGCAGCGTTTCAACTGACTCCTAAATGAATGCAACCTCTACAACAAGAGGGTACTTCGCCAAACTCACCCTTTGGCTCACTTTATCGATGTTTTTGGCGCACTTGCTATTTTGGGTCTCCTTGCTCTGCATCACTTTTTATTATTTTATTTAAAAATGGTAGAGAAATTTTGAATAGTAAGGTATATAATTTTTTGCATAACTTTAACGAATGTAGTTTTACATTGCAAAGTACAAAATTTGAACCAAATCGGTCGAATAGTTCCTGAGAAATAGAATTTCAGATACTTAAAATTAGATTTCTCAGGAGCTATTCGACTGATTTTGCACAAATTTTGTACTTCGCCATGTAAAATTACATTGTTTGAAATGATGCCAAAAAAAATGTCTTACTATTCAAAACTTTTTCGATCGTACTTAAATAAATTATAAGTATATATTCAAAGTTATTTTTTGCATGGTATTATTTTTGGATAAATGAATTTTATAATTGTGTGCAA